AGGGAGTTTTTCTTTTGCGTTTGAAGGAGAGGAGCAAACGGGGGGTGGGGGGTGGGGGCGGGGAGAGGGGTGCAACAATGAATGAATGGAATTCCAAAATCTCTGTAGATGTTCACTGAAATGAAAAATAAAGAAATTAAATAAAAAAAACAGGTATGCAAGAATGGTTCAACATAAGAAAAACAATCAGTGTAATTCATCACATAAATAGCAAAGAACTAGAACCACATGATCCTATCAATTGATGCAGAAAAGGCCTTTGACAAAATTCAACACCCTTCCTGATTAAAACGCTAAACAAAATAGGATTAGAGGGGAATTTCTTTAACATAGTAAAAAAATATATATATGCCAACCTGAGAGCCAACATTGTTCTCAATGGAGAGAGATTAAAGGCATTCTCTTTAAGAACAGGAACTAGGCAAGGATGCCCTTTATCACCTCACCTATTCAATATTGTATTGGAAGTCTTGGCAGTAGCAATAAGACAAGAGAAGGAAATAAGAGGTATCCAAATTGACAAAGAGGAGGTAAAATTATCTCTCTATGCAGAAGATATGATGGTATACTTAGAATAGCCTAAAGATAAGCAAGAAAACTACAAGATATAGTTGACCACTTCAGCAAAGTAGAAGGATACAAGATCAACATACAAAAATCAGTTGGATTTCTCTACAGTGACAAAGAGAAGACAGAGCAGGAGCTAAGAAAAACAATACCCTTCACAATAGCTAATCACAAGATTAAATACTTAGGAGTAAATCTAACCAGAAGCACAAAGGATCTTATAGAGAAAATTATGAAATATTACCACAAGAAAAAAAAAAAGGAGACCTGGAGAAATGGAAGAATACTCCTTGCTCATGGATAGGAAGACTCAGTATTGTGAAAATGACAGTTCTACCAAAGGCAATTTACATGTTCAGTGCAATCCCAATACAGATACCAAACCCATTCTTAAATGAGATGGAAATGGCAATCTCCAGTTTTATTTGGATTGGGAAGAGGACCTGAATAAGCAAAGCACTCCTTAAGAAGATAAACAAGGTAGGAGGCATCTCACTCCCTTTTTTCAAATCCTACTACACTGCCGTGATGGTCAAGACAGCATGGTACTGGTACAATGACACACATAGATCAATAGAATAGAATTGAGAATCCAGAAATCAGCCCATCCAACTGTGGTCAACTTATTTTTAACAAGGAGATTAAATTGGTTAAGTGGGGAAATGACAGCCTCTTTAACAAATGTTGGCAAAATTAGAAAGCTATCTGCAGAAAAAAAACTCAACCAAGAATCACACCTTCCTCCATACACAAAAACCAACTCAAAGTGGATCATGGACCTAGGACTAAAACCAAGGATTATAAAATTCATTAAAGAAAATCTTGGAAGAACTCTAGTAGTCCTAATCCACAATATAAACAGTCTTCCAAGCATCCTGAAAAAAAAAAAATCTACAACTAGGAGAGGATAAAACAGGTGAATGGGACCTTCTAAGAATCAAATCCCTAAGCACATCCAAAAACTTTTCCAACAGGGTGAAGAGGGAAGCCACAGACTGGGGGAAAACTATTTGGTAATGACATGTCAGATAAGGGACTTATATCTAAAATTTATAAGATACTCTAGTACCACAACAAGATAAATAACCCAATAGAAAAATGGGCACAGGATATGAACAGACACTTCGGCAAAGAAGACATTCAGATGGCAAACAAACACGTGAAGAAATGTTCAAAATCCCTAGCTCTAAGAGAGATGCAAATCAAAACAACCATGAGATATCATCTCACCCCAGTAAGAGTAGCAAAATTTAACAGAACAGCAAACAACAAATGCTGGCGAGGTTGCGGAGAAACTGGAACCCTTATCCGCCATTGGTGGGCATGTAAAATGGTACAACCACTATGGAAGACAGGAAGGCACTTTCTCAAAAAGTTGCAAATAGAAATACCATTTGACCCAGCAATTCCACTGCTGAGAATATACCCCCAAAAAAACCATAACCGCCACCTGAGTAGATATATGCACACCCATGTTTATCGCAGCTTTGTTCACAATAGCAAGGAGTTGGAAACAACCTAAGTGCCCACCCAGAAACGAATGAATAGAGAAGCTCTGGTATATTCACACAACAAATACTAAACTGCATTGAAAAACAAGGAACTCATGAAATATACAAAATGGGTGACCTTGGAGGACATTATGCTCAATGAAATATTTCAGTCACAAAAGGACAAATACTGCATAGTACCAGTGTTGTAAAAGGGGACTGACATTGGGGTTGGGGGAGACTGAGAAAGTGGGGATAAATAATGTATACTGCATTGAAACATATGAGGGAGAGAACTATTTAAAAGGTACTTATGATTAGGTATTATTGTCATGACAGGAGTCCAGAATGAATGCTGCATATTGGAGTGGACTTGGAGGGAGGGACTGTATAACAATGAAAGAATTTTACTTTCAAAGAGAAGAGTGAACTGGGCAGGGAGAAAAGTGCAACAATGAATGACTGGAAATACAAAGTCTCTGTATGTAAACGTTAATTAAAATTAATAATAAAAAGAGCTTCAATAGCAAAAAATAAAAGATGTATCAAATTGGGCAATTCTGCTGTGAAGAATTTGTCCAAAGTTTTAAGGAGCAGCAATGTCAGTTTAAAAAGTAAGGTATGGCTGATCCAATCCGTGGTATTTTCATTACTATGTATCAGAATGTTGGACAGTGAATCATTACGATAGAAAAATTAATGCCTTTGAATTATAATCTTGGAGAAGAGTACTGAATATCCCATGGACTGCCAAAAGAACAAACAGATGTGTCTTGGAGAAAGTGCATCTAGGGTGTTCCTTGGAGGCAATGATGATAAAGCTTCAACTCATATACTTGGGCATGTTGCTAAGAGGAGCCAGTTTTTGGAAACCATCACGCTTGGTAAGGTGGGAGGTTAGATGATGAGGATGGTGCAGGATATGACGGGACAGAGCTGCTCAGAGTGCCGCTGGGTGTCAGGGTTGACTCTCTGGCACCTAAAAACAACAACTGTAACATAAAGTCAAGGAGTACGGTGCTCCTTAATACAGTCAGCCATATACAACCACAAGAAAACTCAGACGAAAGGGGTGGAGAAGGAGGAAGAATGCCAGGGTGGGCCCAGGAGGAGGCGGGAAGGGTACTGCTATATTGTGGGGACTGTAGCCATGGTCATCAAACAAAATTTCCAAGAACATATTCTTGAATACAAAACTAATACGCTCTGGAAACTTGCAGTTGAATAGCAGTAAAAAAGAATTTAGAGGTTTTTAAAATGCTTATTTTTTAAAAAATGTCATTAAACAGTAATAAAAGCCGAAACCTGTTCTACTCATAACTCATTAAATGCCACTGAAATACAGGCTGTCATTGCAGAGGTAAAAAAATGGTAATGTGGTCTCTCATGCTCTCTGGAGAGGACCCCTGGTGGCACAGTGGTCAAGTGCTTGGCTGCTAACCAACAGGTCAGAGGTTCAAATTCCCAGCTACCCTGCGGGGGAGACAGAGGCAGCCGGTTTGAAGCAAGATACCTCCTGGAGACCCTGTGGGCAATTTTTCCTCTAGGGTTGCTGGGTGCTGGAACGGCCCAGGGATGGTGCCTTTGGTTTGGGATGTCATAGAGAACAGGCTGACCTGTACTAGGTCCATGGAAAGTGGCTTGCCATGACCAGAAACCTGGAGGAGGTCAAGGGCAGGGCTGCCAGGTCACATCTGCTGACAGCCCCTGTCGGCACCCCAGATGAGGCTCCTGGGGAGCCTGGGTCAGGGCAGCAGGACACTGGCCAGCCCACTCATGCGGAAGATGACATAATTAATGTCCAAGAAGAACTTTGTTGACAGGCTAGAAAAATGGATCTGGTCAAATCACACAGTCAGTAGGAGGACAGCACTGAGTCCCTCTTCACATCCAGCAGACGAACCAGGGTAAGGGGGCCATTTAATCACCCAGAAGAGGCGATTGCATGTGTGAATGGTCAGAGCCTCAGTGTATGGTCACTGCGTGCTGTCCAGAGTGACCCTGAGCCAGAGCAGAGCTGCCTGGGGTCCTTTCCAGGACGGGCAAAGATCCATGCCCAACCCCTGACAGTCTGCTGGTGGGTTGAATCACTGACCTGGTTAGCTGGCAAGCGCTTCACCCCTGTGCCACCAGGTCCTTCAGTCTAAGATTATTAGCTGCTGCTGAGTTGATTGTGACTCACTGTGACATGATGGACAACAGAAGAAACCCTGTCCACCCTTGCACCTCACCCCGCAGTCACCACTTCCTTAAGCCATGGTCACAGCCATGTCCAGTCTCAAGGACAAAAGCACAGTGAAGTGTCCACAACAAACCTGCTACTTGTTGTGTTGATCCTAACTCACCTCAACCCTGAAGGACAGGGTAGAACTTGCTGCAGGCTTCCTCAGGCTGGGAGAGGCCAGCAGCTTACTCACAATTAGCATCTGCCTGTTAGCATCTGGGTGCTAGGGTAGCACCCCACAGGGTTCCTTTCCTGGGATGGCCATTGGGTGCTCACTAGAGCCCCCGTCTGCTGATTATCAGCTGACCTTTTGATTTCCTGAAGGGGTGGATGATGCTGTCTCAGCTAACCAGTGGTGTTGTGATAGAGTGGACATAGTGGCTGGTACAATAACTAAACCTGTTCTCCGAGAGTTGGGCATCAAAAGTCCAATTCAGTGTGCTGGCTTTCTCTTTGTGGGCTCCTTGGGAAGGTCCCCGTGTCCTTTCAACATCTGGATGCCTGTAGAACTCCACGTGTCTTGGTGTCAGTCTCTCCCTGGGTCTAATGGGTTCTCAGTGCTCAGGCCTACAGAACCTGGGGGCCACAGGGCTCAGGGTTCACAAGGCCTGGATTCCATAAGGCCTGGGGTCCAACTCTACCTGGTGAGGCCACTTTCTGCTGGGGGAATCTAGAACCAAGGTGCTTCTGTGAACAGGTGATCTGATTGTCCTGAGTAGGACAACCAGATGACAGAAGTGGTCCAGGGGCTGGGAAGGTGAGTGCATTTCTTGTTTTTAGGAGCTGTCAAGTTGACTGACTCACAGTGATCCTAGGAACAAGAGATGTGAACCCTGCCCTATCCTGTATCATCCTCCTCACCTTACATGCTTGAGCCCATTGCTGTGGTCAGTATGTCAGTTCATGTCATTGGGTGTCTTCCCTCCCCACGCTGATCCTTGGACACGCATGTTTCCAGGAGCATTGGAAAGGTAAATGCATGCTCAGCTTTGTGCTGTCCCAGAGAGGCATTCCGCTGCTCTCTTTCGCCACATTCACACAACACAACCCTTCATGTGCATCCAAATTTGGAAGAAGAGGTATGTGGTACTGACCTAGGTGGTTCACTGTCCTTATCCCAGGCCAAAAAAATAGTTAAAAAGAAGTATGACTGTGATTGTCGAATGAAACAGCAGATCTCATTTGAGCTGTAGCTGTTAAATTATTTGATATTTGTATAATACTTTGAACCTCATTCAAAATCACTAATATTCACTCTCTGTTGACACAGCCCATAGCAAGTTGTGCTGATAATGCAGAAACTGGGGATTCAACCCACCAGCAGCCCCTTGAGAGGAAGATGAGTAATCACCTCCCTCACAGTTTACAGCTTAGAAACACTGGAGAGTCAGCCAGGAGTTCTTCCGGACTCCAGGGCAGTGTGTAGATCTGGACCTCCATAATGTCGACAGTTATTTGTTGTTGTGAGGACCATCAAGTTGACAGTCAAATAGATCAGGTAGATTGAGGATTTCTAGGTGCCCTGGGTCAACTCTAACTCACAAGGCTCCTGTGGCCACACACTTTAAGTTCATTCTGTCCTGTGTTGTCTGATAGTCTGATGATTTCTGTTGCCCTCAAGCCCATAGCGGCAGTCACTGTATCAATCCATCTTCAATCCATCTTGGTGAAGGTCTTCCTCTTTCACTGACATTTCCTAGCATTGTATCTTTCCCCAGGGATTGGTCCCTCCTAACAAAATGCTCAGAATAATGTGAGATAAATCTCACCATCTTTACCTCTCAGGGGCACCCTGGTTGCAGTTTCTCCAAGACATATGTTTATTCTTTTGGAAGTCCATGGCATGGTCAGTACTCTCAAGACTATTTCAAAGGCATCAACTCCTCTGCCATCCTTATTGTCCAGTTTTTACCTGCACAGGAAGCAACTGGAAAGAACCATGGCTTAGGTCAGATGCCCTTAGGCTTTAAAGGGACAGTCTTGCTTTTTAGCTCTTTGAAAAGGTCTTTGACAGATTTGCCCAATGCAACATGTCTTTTGATTTCCTGCCCATTTAAAAAAGAGATTTAATGCACTGAACATCAATAACTGAAGACCCAGTGCCTTGTGGGACGGTCTCAAGGACATCGTAAAAGGTCATTAAAGGACGCATAAAACTAAAAACCGTAACACAAAGTTCGAAGTCCAGTGTTGTGGAGTGTTTCCGACTTGTGGGTCTCTGAGGCTGCCCACCTTTACTGGAGCCCACACCACTGAGTTCCCTGTTAACAAATCTATAGCAATGCTCAACAGAAAGACAGGACTTTAATTTTCCATGGACAAGTGTAGGTTCAGGAAAAGAAAAAAAATTCATCTGTCATCCTCAAGAACAGGGAGCTCTGGTGGTGCAGAGGGTTCCAAGTTGGGGCGTTAACCGAAAGGTCTGCAGTTCGCATCTCCCCACCCCTGCCAGCTTCAGGCAGGAGAGAGGAGAGTTCCTATTAGCATTTATCATCTCAGTGGTCAGAACCCACGGTTGGGTGTTGGCTGTGGTCTCTCTTTCCCTAAAGAAGAGAGAGTGCCTGGGCCCGGTGCTGCTGCCGCAAGAACCAGAATGCTGAGCTCCGCGTCAATTTCTCAGACTTTCCTCCAATGAGTGGAGACAGCTGTGAGCTGCAGGCCCTTCAGAAGATCCTCCCCTGGAGGGCAGGATGACCTGCGGCTTGGCCGCCAACTTTGGCAGCCGCGCAGGAAACCTACCGTCAGGGATCAAGGGCCCATTGTTCCACCTTCAGGCATAGGGTACACTACAAGGGCGACTTGGCTCTGGGGTCAAGGGGAGGTGAAGACCGGGGTGTGTACAAAATGAGGCCTGCCGGGGCCAGGATGGAACCCAGCATTAGAGCGCGTGGCTCCAGAGTGTTGGTGTGGGCATATCCTGGACCAGGAGGGGTAAGAGGGACCCCACTGGGCTCTCCCTTGCGGGAAACCGGCCCCGAGGACGGTGTCCGCGGGCGGCGGCGCTTCTCTTCCAGAGCCGCCTCCCCGCACAGGCTCAGGCTGGGCCCCGCTCAAGTTCTCCAGGTGCCCCGTCCTCCTCTGGTCAGCCTCCCTGGCCCCAGAAAGCCGCTCCCAAGGTACCCCGGGCCCCACCCGGCGCCCAGGAGGCCGGCCGAGCCGGCGGCGCGG